CCAATGATAACTTCCTGGTGAAATTGTCACTGAAAAAGCCCATCGTGGCTGTTTTTTCAGATTATTGCATCTGAATGAGGAAAATAAATCCATTGTACAGACATGGATGAACACAAGGACACTTAATGCTGGTGGTGTAAAGCAGAGTTAGTCCAGCTCAGCTCTGTGGTACACTACAGCACAGAGATGGGAGAGGGGGGAGGGATGCCATGCAAAAGACCACAAGGTTTCACAGCGTCATACAACTACGTTTAATCAGATTTTGCTCATTAGTACAGAAAAAGGAGAAATGAAGATGGGGACTACAAACTCTGAAGCAGTAGTAAGCATTAGCAGCATCGAGCTCCATGTTTTCCAAAAATGTCCAGAGGTCTGAGTCAACAGTGTGAAAAGCCTCGTCGAGATAGAACCAGTGTTAGAGTCAGGAAATAAAAACCAGAGGAAATGAAAGCACAGATGCCTTCATTAAAAAAAGAAAGAAAATCACAATTACAAGTAGTGGGATGTTTGATTTGAAATAAAGAAAAAGCACATTACCACTCTTTTTTTCATCTAGTTTGCGATCACAACATGATAAGACCTACAGTGTTTACCTACCCAGAGAACGCCCATGAAGCATAAGTGAATATACAGTATACTATCCAAGTCTACTTACATGAAATACATACGGTTATCTATAGAGAGGAATATAGAAAATGGTTGCCATCATCCAAATCATGATCTTTTTCAGTTGCACATACATTTAAGTTTTATATTTCAGGTATTAATTCTTTTGTTACGTGAAGGGAGAAGTAAAATAAAAGAAGGCCAGGAGATGGATAAACACTGTGACTGAATAATACTGAGGAGAGAAGACGAGTGGAGGACGGTGTCAGCTGAATAAACTGTGAGATAAAGGTCAGCCACTAATAACTCTCACATGAGCAGTGGAGTCGTCAGGATGAAGAAAACACCACACAATCTGCATGAATTCTGCTAAATGTTATTTCGGGAAATATGGTTATTTACTAGTTAGCTTAGCCACTTAGCACAAAGACTGGAAACAGCTGGCCTGGCTTGGTAAACAGTTTAGGAAACGTCCACGTCATAACTCACTGATGATGTCTTTTCTGACGCCACATAAAATAAAGTGTAGAATGAAACATTACAACATTGTGTGTTTTACTTGTTCGTGAATATAACTAAAGGAAGTCAATTCCTACCTTAATGCTAAGCTAATCATCTTAGCACAAAGACTGGAAACAGCTAATCTCAATGAAACCTGCAGACCAGCATCTCAGTAAAAGTTTGACATCTTGTCAGATTTAGTTTTACTTGTCCTCTGACGAAACTACTACTAATAGTCGTAAACTTGTCCTCCATTTTTTTACAGCGTGGGTTTTGCATGAAATACAGAAACAATAAGCATGTTGAGTTGTGGAGGTGCAGGTATGGGCAGATTGTGTCCCCCTCTCTTTCCTGTCTTTATGCTAAGCTAACCAGTTTAGCATAAAGACCGGAAACAGCTTACCTAGCTTTAAAAACACTTCCAAAAAAAAAGAAGCCTAGCAGGAAATGTTTTCGGACCATTATTCTCTTACGCAACATGTTTCCACTTTGGTTTCACTTTGAAATATAAGGCAGACGTGTTACTTTCTAGCTATTCCCTCGTTATGCTAAGCTAATCAGCAGGAACTGTACGTGAATAAACATATTTCCCAAAACTCAAAATAAGGGTGAAGATGAGGAGAGGAAATGGAAGTAAGACAAACTACATGATACAGTGCATTTCCATATTACATTCATACTTAGATACAATCACACCGGTGCACTCTGCAGGATGGATGGCCTGGAGGGGGGGGGGGGGGGGGGGGGGGGGGGGGACGTGGCTGTTTGCTGTCGAATATCTCACAGGTGAGGAGGCGTCCACTGCACAAAGTGACTTTAGTACAGTTAGTGGGTTATAGTAGCAGTAGTAGTAGTAGTAGCAGTAGTAGCAGTAGTATTGGATTAGCAGAAGCAATGTAAATGATCAGTGGTGTTGTCCATCCTCCACAATTACATCACAACTGCGTTTACGCTCCATTCTGCCACTTTTATTTTATTGCCCATTCATTTGTTTACATCGCGGATCACTTAAACATCACCAACCGGTTGTTTGTGACTATATATATATATATATGTTTTTT